AAGAAGGTAATGGGCGCAGATGAAATGTGGAAGTGAGGAGCCTGGGCCTCTCTTCCTGCTGTGGACTTGCTCCCGGCCTCCGTCCACCTGCTCTGACCTTTTCTGCTCGGTTACTGGTGATGTTTCAGAATTCGCAGATCCTATTGGCTGCTGCATGTGGGGTAGGGAGGGCGGGGGCACGAGCTGCAGATCCAAGATCACAGTCCTGGTTTCTGCACAGAGCGGATGGTAGGAGCCTGGAGAGGCCTCTGAAGGGAGACTGGCAGGGGCCACTGTTTCCTGTCTGTTCCATCAGACACTCTTCTCCCTCCTTACTCATCCTATGTGTTTGAAGTAGCGTCAACCCCAAAATACATTCAAAGAAATTTTCCAAGTTTATGGCTATCTAATAAGAGCTTGAAATAGGAGAACATGATTTATGTTGAGTTTTTTGAAAGCCCGGACTGGTTCTTGGATCCCATTACTCTACATTGGCACTTCTAAAAACCGACGTTCTCCAGGATGTAAAGTCCTGCAGTAAAATGGGATCATTTGACATCTAACTGTGCTGAAGATACAGTAAATGGCCGCTAAGAACACAGCAAAGAAGATGATAGTGTCATTTTTATGGGATTTTTACTTTGAAAAAATTGGGAGTTCCTTTCATAAAGGCTTTCTTGGAGAATGTGTTTTGTGGCGCTGTCCTGGGAGTTTTGGGGAGGACAGGGATTCCTCTGGAATGTTAGGAGGATCAGAGTAGTAAAGTAAATTCTCTGAGGGCACACGGCTTGTGCTCTCCCTTCTTGTCTGATCCAAACCTCCAGAGCTGGGGAGGAAGGAGCAGCATGGGTGTGTGTGAGATCACAGAGCACAGGGAGTAGGGAGTGTCCAGCAGTAAAGGCGGGGAAACAGAGTCACTGCAGTGCAAGAGCCGATGTGTATTGTTCTGCTACATGGGAGGTGGGCTTGGCCCTTGATTGTTGGGCCAGGATTGTTCTATGTACTAGATTTGGGCAGCCGGTTCCGGGACAGGAATGGAAGAGTGCTAGAGAGCTCAAGACCCAGGGATGTAAGGTCCATTTTACAAACTGTGTTCTGAATTCTCGCCAATCATTTCATGTTCACTGGAAAACAAACATCTCAGGTGGTGAACAGACTTGCCCAAGNGTTCACTGGAAAACAAACATCTCAGGTGGTGAACAGACTTGCCCAAGTTAAGGGAGCAAGTGGCACCCCAGGACTGAAATTCCTGTCTCCTCTGAGTGTAGGCTGTGTATCCTGTGTGATCTGGAGGCATGCCTCCCATTCTGCATGGCTGGTATGAACTGTCTGGTCACGGTCTCGTGACTCCTCACGGACTCTACATCCTCTCCTGGGCCTCCCACTCTGCCCAACTGGCTTGAACAGGGTGATCACAGTCTTATCACCCCTCATAGACTCCTATGTCTTCTCCTTGGCCTCCCACTCTGCCCGGCTGGTGTAAACTAGCTGATCACGGTCTCATCACCCACATGGACTCCTGTGTCTTCTCCTTGGCTTCCCACTCTTCCCAGCTGGTGTGAACAGGGTGATCACGGTCTCCTCACTCCTCACGGACTCTACATCCTCTCCTGGGCCTCCCACTCTGCCTGGCTGGTGTGAACAGGCTGCTCATGGTCACATCATTTCTCATGGACTCTATATCCACTCCTGGGCACACTTGCTCTCAGGAAGGCCCCTGAGTGATGCATGGGGCAGGTTCTCAAAAGCAGTAGGAGAGGACCATCAAGTAGTAAAGGTCTTGAAGTGGGTGAGGGCCCAAGGCTGTAGGCTGGGCAGTCATAAATTAAGACTGGGAGTGGTGAGTTGTTAAGTGGGGACGTTCTCCACAGAGAAGGACTTACCTATGTTTGGAAGAGGAGGAACGGGTAGAATGGATGAGAGGAATGTTTTGATCAGAGTATTCTCTGTGTGTATTGACTGTGTCCAAACGAAAGTGAAAGAAAATTCGTGACATCAAGGGAGAACAAAGGGCGTGGGCACAGTGGCTCAGGCAGGGGATTTCCAACTCAGCTCGTACATAAGCTGGATGCCAGTCCTATTCCTCAGCCTCCTGTGTCTGCTCTGTTGGCTGTAGACATGGCATCTGGTACTTCCTGCCTCCATGTAAGCTGGGGTTGAAAAGTGGGAATGGGGAGAGGGAAAGCACCGTCAAGGGTTGGGGAGTGATTTCAGGAGTCCAGGAGGGACAGAGTTCGGGGAGGTGGGGGCAGAGCAGCTGGGAAGGCATCCTGCAGGGGCTGCGACAGGCTCTGATCTCTATAGATGCTGAAGGAAGGTTCTGGGAATAGAAGCGGCTCGTTTGGCTCCTCAGTGCTCTTCTGTGTCAGGCCTGACTGGGCCCTGTTAGGGAGGATGGTGGGAAGTGGGAGTGGGCTTTGGGCCCACAGGGCTGGATTTGAACCTATGGAAATGTTGTCTGGAGCCCTTTCTCCTCCTTTTAATTAGGGTCCCTGGGCTCTTCAACACCTTCTCCTCCCAAAAGAGAGGTACACAAAACTCATTCACTCTAAGGTGTTAATGACCAGATCCATGAGCCTATAAGGAGCGCGTGCAGTACATGTGGGCTGGCCTCAGGGGGCTGCTTAGCACAGAGGGGCTTGGTCCTGTGAGGAAATGTCTGTGACGTCCAGACTGCGAAGATGGTTTTGAATAGAGCAGGAGGGAGGTCCTCCCAGGCTTGCCAGCGACAACACAGGCTGCACTGGCCAGCTTCAGACTATGGAAGGAAGACCTCGATCTGGCCCTGCCTTCTGTGAGTGAGGCCCTGGTCTAGCTGCAGGAGACCATATTCTGCAATAGGTAGATAGAAACACACGGGAAGTCCAGGGGAACAAGTCACACTGAACACAGTGTCACCATAACGTGTGAGTCATTACATGGCCATAGGACAGTAAGAAAGAGACCAGGAGTACGGAGGGTATGTGTCCTGTCCAGGGTCTCCTTCTGAAGTAGTCATGGAGGGAGGTATGTGAGTGTCCCATGAGCTGACGAGTCGGTGATTCTCTCTGGGAGCTGTTGTTGGCGTCCGGTGCATAACTGTGCGTGCTTTGTAATTGGATTTAGTTTCTGACATTTGACAACCTCTATCTGGATAGGAGGCTTGCGAAATGTGGGAAATCACTGATGACGTTGGGATGAATGAGAGGTATGGCTGTAAAGGAAAACGATGATTTTCCTGCATTAGAAGCTTGATATTCCCAAAGAGAAGTTCCACAAAAGGGAGGGACAGAGCCTGTTGTATAGGAGCTGGAGGACAAGGCAGGCAGGGAGGGTGGGGCCGGGCAAGGAGGGGACAGTGGTGTAAAGGTGGCAGGCGTTCCAGGCACCTTGATTTGCGGTCTCTTGGCCTTCGTTGTCCAGGTGACGGTCTATTCTGAGGGAAGGACGTCAATGACATTCGCTGCTAACTTGGAGGACACAGTGAGGAGGATCAAAGAACACGTCCGGGCTAAGACCAAGATTCCCGTGCAGGACCAGGTCCTGTTGCTGGGCTCCAAGATGCTGAAGCCCCAGAGGAGGCTGTCGTCTTACGGCATTGACAAGGAGACAACCATCCACCTCACTCTGAAGGTGGTGACGCCCAGTGATGAGGAGCTGCCCGTGACTCTGGTGCAGTCACGTGATGGGGGGCAGAGGCACCACCTCCAGGTACGAAGGTCCAGCTCAGTGGCCCAGGTGAAACAGATGATCGAGACCAAGACGGCGATCGCGCCTGAGCAACAGATCGTGACTTGCAATGGCAAGAGGCTGGAAGACGGGAAGACCATGGCGGATTATGGCATCAGACGGGGCAATTCACTCTGGCTGGCAGACTACTGCATTGGGGGGTGAGCCTGCTGTTAGCTCTCACTCCCCCCACATCCTTTGATGATTTCCCCAAATTAACGAGAAAGAGAAAGAGGGAAATTTAGGGGTGAAGTGGGAAGGAAGACTGCAGAAAAGTTTCTAACTCTATGATTTTTTGATCGAACACCGTTGATTAGGTGTCTGCATTGTGTGTATTACTGAAAATAGAAAATAATATTTTAAGGCACAGTAGAGATAGCATCAAAGCCAGCTTGGAATTTAATCCTTTCCCTCGTCCCTCTGATTTTTAGAAAAATTCCTATTTCTTCTGTCCAACAGGATAGTAAGTTCCACATTGGGATCCATATTCCTCCAATTTCTGTGTTCCCACTGGCATATTCCATCTGTAATATCACTCAATATGTTGAATTAAATTGAATTTCTACTTGTAGAGAACAGTGAAATGATTTAAATTGAAGTGTGTTAATTCCTCTGATATGTTTACAATCTAAATAATAAAGAATTTAGAAATTCAACTAAACTATCTTCTCTGTCCTTATTTAACGTTGTTTGGCAGGAAATGAATCCCGGCACGGTGTGCCGTCTTCCTCTCTACGCCCCACTCCGATTTCAGCTGTTCTTATTTCTGGAGTTGATGGTGGGCATGGGAAGACATCTCCCCTGGGGACTCAGAGATTTTGTTCTCCAGTGGTGGGGGGGTGTCCCTGGGGAAGGTGTGGTCGTGGAGCCGTCTCTGTCCTGCCTGCGTTAGGGTCTAGCAGGTCTACTCTGGGGTGGGGGCATCGTTTGGGTGGGGGCTTTCGGTTGGTCTCTGGGTTGACTCCCGAGGCAGTGCCCTGGTCCTGGCTGACAGAGCCTTTTCCTGGCTGCCTCCTGTGCCCCCCACCCCTGTGTCTGCTCCTCCCTGGGGAATGTGGGTCTCTTCCTGCATCTTCCTCCCGCACTCACTCCTTTGTCTCACTGTCCCTCTTGTGTCTCATGACTGGTCAAGAACACATTTTTCACACCATCTAAGACATGCCTAGTCCCTTCTGCTCTTTAAACTTGCTCAAGAACCACCTTGTGCAGAAGAGATCCCAGCTGAACCCCAGTGGCACCATCCCCACTTAGGGGAATTCTTTGTTCTGCTTTGGGCTCTAGTGCTCTTGGTGGCACTAGTGACCTGGTTAGGTGGGCATTAGGTTGGACTGATTTCCCTGGAGGAGCCACTGCAGCTCCTTGTTTTGGATGGGTCTCCGGCAGGGTAGAGTCTGGGATTTCTCTGTCAACTTGGGGGACTCCTGAGGCCAGACACTGTGGGGTCTTCACGGTGTGCACCATCAGACTGGGGGAGAGGGAACGTTAGTTGTCCTGTTGTACAGGATCTTACCAGCATATGGACTCTTTGGGTGTTGTCACTGGACCCCTGAGGATGGGGAAGGTCCTCTCGAAATCATGCCCTCTCTCTTCATCAACTGAAGAGAGAGCCGGAAGGCCACTTCCCCTCCCTGAACCTGTATATGCAGCATAGAGGGATTTGCCCTGAAGCAGAGGAACATTTGGGGGGGGGCGGAGAATGGGGCCTCCCCAAAGACCTGGGACTCCCTGAGGACACATCTTGCCAATTCTCACAGGGAAATGGACAGGCTGAGGGCTCGCTGCCTTCCCAATGGACATTCCCATCCGTGGGCCCGGGGCTCACCCTTTCTTCCCTCTCCCGCCCCGCACTCACCGTCCAGCCTGCCCTCTCCCCACACTGCCCAGGAGCTTCCTGGCTGCCCCCTTCACTTCCTTGTTCCTGAGGGTGTAGATGAGCGGGTTGAGGGCCGGGGTGACCACGGTGTAGAAGAGCGAAGCGAACTTGCCCCGCCCCTGGTCGTAGCGGCTCGTGGGCTGTAGGTAGGTGTAGATGGCCGAGCCGTAGAAGAGGCAGACGGCGGTCAGGTGGGACCCGCACGTGCCCAGCGCTTTCCTGCGGCCGCCCCGGGACCGCATGCCGCAGATGGCGCGGGCCACGGCGCCGTACGAGGCCAGGATGACGGCGGACGGCAGCAGCAGGATGACCACGCGCGCAGCGAACATCCGGCGCTCGGTGGCGTCGCGGCCGCCACCACAGGCCAGCTGCAGCAGCGCGGGGAGCTCGCAGATGAAGTGGTCCAGCCGGTGGGGTGCGCACAGCGGCCGTGCGGCCAGGAGCGCGCTCTGCGCGGCGGAGTTGGCCAGGCCGCCCAGCCAGGAGGCGCAGGCCAGCGCGCGGCACCGGCGCGGGGAGGCGAGCTCGGCGTGGCGCAGCGGGTGTACGACGGCGGCCGCGCGGTCCAGCGCCATCACCGCCAGCAGCAGGCACTCGACGGAGCCCAGCGCCAGCGACGTGCACAGCTGGGCCAGGCAGCCCGCGCGGGGCAGCCACAGCTCCGCGCCGCACAGGCTGGCCAGCAGCGCGGGCGCCACGCTCGTGGTGAAGCCCGCGTCCACCAGCGCCAGGTGGCACAGGAAGTAGTACATGGGTGTGTGCAGGCGCGGGTCGCGCACGGCCAGCAGCACGAGGGTCGAGTTGCCCGCCAGGGTCAGGAGGTAGCAGAGCAGGACGAGGGCGAAGAGGGCGGGCTGCAGCGCGGGCCAGTCGGAGAAACCCAGCAGGAGGAAGCGCTCCTCGGTGCTGTGGTTGGCCTGCGGGAGGAAACTCCCAGAGTGTTTGGAAGGAGGCTGAGCGAAAGGGTGAGTTTACC